AGTTTGTTTGTGTGTATGCGTGGACGAGAGGTTGAAGATGGTGAACAGTCTTTGTATGTGTATATAATTTCACCAAGTTGAAAATAATTCATGTATGAAGTATTTATACGTGTGCAAGTTGTAGGCAAAAGGGAAACTTAGAAGTTTGAAAAAGAATGTAATTTTTCAGAAAAATTATAACATGCGTCGACACATATAAGTTATGTGTCAACATGTTTTATAACATGTGTCGATCTGTTCAAGGTCATGTGTCGACACATAATTATAAAAGCTACATGCTTTAAAAATAAGTTACATGTGTCGACCTGAATATCGTATGTGTCGACACATAGAAGAATCTTTTGTACATGTATCGACCTGAAAAAAGTTGTGTGTGTCGACACATAGTTACAGAGGCTAATTTTAATATTGACCTACATGTGTCGACACATGTATCATATGTGTCGACATATAAACCTGTTTTTCATGCATAAACTGATTTTTAATGCATGATACCTTTTCCAAACATGTTATAAACGCATTCCGTCCAATATATGTATGTGTGTATATATATATATATATATATATATATATATATATATATATATATATATATATATATATATATATATATATATATATATATATATATATATATATATATATATATATATATATATATATATATATAGGTTATCCTAGTTTTGACATCATGTAAAATATCTAACGGGCAAGTGTACTCACATACTCCTCTTTTTGATGATGACAAAACTTACGACGATGCATTTCGTGTCTTCATGAAGGCTCCTCCTGAATATGTGCATCCAAACTTCGTGTCCGTGTATGCTTCCCCCCCTTTGACAACATCAAAAAGAGACAAAAATGAAAAAATATCATTTATCGCACAAATACTAATATATTACACAGGCGTTTTTGCAAAGAGAGAACGTGCACTCAAATATATCCATATACATGGAGTGACGCAAAATTAATCATAATAACAAGCAATACACATAACCATAATAAAAAATACAAAGACATGGAATATAATGGATGCAATGCAAGAGAAAACTCTTGAGTCGCTTCAAAAATATCACAGTTATGCAACATTTCACAATGGTGCTCTCGATGCTACACACGCATGTGCCTAGCTTGATGAAAAATTTAACACTACTAAAACCAAAACCAAATATGTTCTCACTTTTCACGATAAAATTCTCAAATTAATTCATGCGCGAATGAAGAAAACAAACTTACATGAAATACAAGGAACAAATGACATGCTCAAGCAAATTATCAAAATATATTTCAAATGCTAAGATATTATATCATGAAATACAAATGATGGTGAAGTAAAAAAGATTAAAACATGAAGTCACTATAAACATATGGATTTCATTGGTTCACAATAAATATTTGGAAGTGAATATTCATGGAATTGCATTACACATCAAATATATAACATAAACACAAAATCAAATTGCAAGTGATATAGATAAGCAATGCAGAAAATAAAAACTTACTAGCAAAGAAATAAGTGAAACAATATTACTTCACTGGACGAAAGACGAAGGAAACACTTACAGGACTAAAGACTTTTAGACTTCAACATTTCTAACCCATTTATCTTTGGAGTGGGTTTTTGAGAACTGTTGGATGCACTTACTGTTAAAGTCATGAGAAAAAAATCTCGTGCTAAAAAGATTTTGAAAAGTACTCGTCTATCATATTAGTCGGTTAGAGTCGATATAATTGATACAAAACACAATCAATATTTAAAGATATAATTTTTTTATCGTACTCTTAAATAAAGAAACAAGACAAATGAATAAAAGAATTTAACAATATATTAAATAGTTATTTCTACGGTATTATTTAATATAACATATAAAACAAAATCTATCTCTTAGTGTCTAATAGAAAAAATAGAGTATAATCACAAGAAAAACAATTTTGATGAATTCCTTGAAGATAAAATAGAGAACAACTCAAAATATATCAACAAAGATAGTTATTTGTCAACACAAAATATAGAACAACCTTAAAATAAGAGTAGGAGAAAGCAAAGTGTGGCAATGACAATAATTGACGGAAACAACAAATCAACAACGAGTGCTGTGGCGATGAGGTGAGCGGCAACGATAATGATCGACAATAACAAGAATGATAAAAAATGAGTGTGGTGATGTTGAAGATAACACTGAGCGAAAATGACAAAGACTGTTCGCGACGACAACAATCAACAATGAGTGTGGTGGCATTGGTGATGAAGGTGAGCGACAATGACAACGATCAACGACAAGGACGACCAACAATCAGTGTGCTAGAGATAATGGTGCTCATTGGCGATGTTGATAGTGACGATGAAGATCAAAACTAAAAGAAGAATACTAAAAGAAGAAGCTGCATTTAAGTTGTTAAGAAACAATTTTGTTTCTTGTTCAGCAGTTTTGTTTTAATTTTGCGGTAGCATATAATATATTAATTAAATCTGGCGAAGGAAAGTCATTCTAATGTTGTCGCGCAAATGTTAGAGAATTCGGTTCCATATTTATGTAGAGAAATCTTTTTAAATTCTTACTGTTTTGAAGGACAAATGAATATGGAAAATAATAGTAGTAAAATATAACAATACCACTAGCCAGTCCTTAGAAAGATAGATGATTTTTTATCTTATACACGATATTTTAGTGAAAAAATATGAGAAGAATGAAAGATTAAGAAAAAAAGTGAGAATTAAAGAAATAATGAAAGATGAAAATAGAGGCGAATAATGTTGAGAATTATTAAGAGTTTAAATTGATTGTTGTGTAATTGATAAAACTGTTTATTAATGTGTATAATTTTAGGACTGCACTAAAAGAGTTGAAATTTTAGCCATGATACCTCAGAAAATAAATAATGAACTTTTGTGGCATACAAAGCGATAAAGTGTCACATAATTCAAAATAATGAGTTTAATTTAAAATATTTATATAATATATTAAATTTAAAGTGATAGATTATATCCCGACACATACTAACACTTCTATTTTATTTATGTCACATCATTCCATAATTTTATATGGTATCTCTAAAATATTATTTTTAATTTTTAAATAGACTATTTATCTTCTATTAAAGATCAAAACCTTAACAAAGATTAAAATAATTATTTTTTTAACAAAAATAATTTAACAAAAGAACTACTATTCCAACTATATATATATATATATATATATATATATATATATATATATATATATATATATATATATATATATATATTTTAAATTAAAAATAAGCATGTGAATCTAAACACTAAGATTAAAATTATATTTTATTTTTGAAATCATAAAAAAAATAACACTTAAAATAAATGTTTTTAATTCAAAAAAGTTATAATCGAAAATATATTAACTTAACAATTAATTACTAACTTAGATAAATATATTATCTCATAAATATATATTATTAAAGTGAATTATACTTTTTCAACTAAAAAAAAGTGAATTATATTTTACTCTTTTCATTTATAATAATGATCATAAATAATATAATAAAAATATTGAAAATAATATTTTTAAAAATACTCATTTTAATTGATATGAACAACAAAATCGATAATTTTTTATAATCCTATTAAAAAAATTAAAATGATTATTAAAAAAAAATTAGGTTACCATAATAATTAACATTTTCAACCTTTCACCCATTAAATAGTTTAATAAAATAGATATAAATTTTATAAAGCTCTTCGAACATTGGCAAAGGTGAAAAAAAAATTAATTTTTTAACAAAAATAATCTAATAAGACAACCATTATTCCAACTATCTATATTTCCATAAATTTCAAATTAAAAATAGACATATGAATCTAAACACTTTAAAATTATGTTTTTTTAAATCATAAAAAAATAACATTTAAAATAAATATTTTTAATCTCAAAGAAGTTAATATATTAACAATTAATTACTAACTTAGATAAATATATTATTTTCATAAATATGTAATATACATTATCAAAGTGAATTATAGTTTACTCTTTTTAATTATTTAAATTTATAAAATTAATTATTGATGTAAGTCTCAATTTACAAACGTGTATTTTTTTTAGTTTAGCCAATTAATTTTAATTCACATAATAATTTTTTTTTAGTTTAACCAACTAATTTTGATTCACATAATAAATTGAGTTTAGTCAATTAATTTCGATCCAATAATAAACTGAGTAATCTGACTTTGTGACTGAGATAAACAACTTACCGGTCAAACTTTATTTCCACTTAGAACGGACAAATATGTATTTTCTTTTAAATAGAGTATATCTTTTTTATATGTGATTAATTCATATTATCTCAATTATAATTCATACAAATTTAGTAACCATGTTTTTTCAAGACAAATTTTTTAAATATTTAAAATTTAATAAAAAAACAAATAAACTAATTGACAACTGCACATAGTTTATATTTATTTGGAGGGTGAGGGTCTACACTTAGAGGGTCTAATAAAGTTACACATAAGTAGTTTTTTTTTTTTTTTTTTTGAGGATCAATATGAGAGCTTAGATTAAAGCTTATAAACTATCAAGCGCGGATATATCTATATATCTATTTCAATCTCATTCCTGTATTCTTCCTTGGTAAGATTCATAAAGACAAAATAGGTAAACTATACTAACAAAAATGCCAACAATTATAGTTGGTATGCATAATATATTCTTTTGAATATCTAGCATTCAACTTCATCATCTCTTGTTCTTGCTGAAGAGCCTGAACTCGATGTGATCCCAACGACTTGGCTATTCGTCAAGCTTTGCAGTTGAATCATGCGCGCATAGATTCCGTCCGGGTGATTTTTCAACAAATGAGAATGTGATCCTTGTTCCTCAAGTTTCCCATCATCAATCACTGCAATGAGATTGGCATTCCTAATAGTTGATAGCTTGTGTGCAACAATGATGGTAGTTTTACCCGAGCAGGCGCGGTCGAGGGCTTCTTGAACAGACCGTTCGGATTCAGCATCAAGTGCACTTGTTGCTTCATCAAGAAGCATAAGGTCTGCTTTCCGTACAAAAGCTCGCGCAATTGCTATTCTTTGCTTCTGTCCTCCAGATAGTTGAACTCCTCGTTCGCCAACAAATGTGTTGTATCCGTCGGGGAGAGAAGATATGAACTTGTGAGCATTGGCGAGAGTCGCGGCTTCGATAATCTCGCCTTCGGAAGCTGAGTCGTGTCCATAAGCAATGTTTTCGTAGATAGTTGTAGCAAATAAGCACGGCTCTTGGGGCACTATTGCAATGTGTTTTCTAAGGGACTTGAGATTGTATTTCCTTATGTCCTTTCCATCGATCATGACTCGGCCGGATGTTGGATCATAGAATCTTTGTATAAGTGCGATAACCGAGCTCTTACCACATCCACTAGGGCCTACAAGGGCAAGAGTTTTGCCTGCCTTTGCACGAAGACTAAGGTCGCGGAAAACTGGCATATCTGGTCGGCTGGGATAGGAAAAGTCAACATGCTTGAGTTCTACTTCACCGTGAAGAGATTCGGGGACATGCGCGGCATCTGGATCATCTGGCTCAATTTCAGTTCTACGGTCTAGGAGATCAAAAACCGATCTCATAGCTCGACCTCCCTTGATGAAGTCAGGAGCCAAGGTTAAAGTTTCGGCAGCACCATTAGCAGAGACCATGAGGACCATAAATACTCGGATTGTTTTAGAGAAATCAGAGATACTGTGCTTCACAAGCCAAGAAGCATACCAAAGACCAAGAGCATAGGAAGCATAGAGTGCAAACTGAGCTATCCCATAACCAATTCCAGAAATTTGTCCCTTCCAAAAGCAACGACATAGTGGAGTTTCAAGGTTCGAAACGAAAAGGCCAACAATTTTCTTTTCCGAATTAAACGCAGCAACAGTCCTTACATTGGCTATAGCCTCCCCGGCAAGTTGCGTGGCCTTGGCATGAGCAGCTTCCAAGTCGCCAGAGAAACCCGACATGAACATTTTCTATTAAAAAATAAAACGCGAAGAATTAATAAATAACAAGTGAAATATGAAACTGAGCTACTTAGCATGACAAACCTGTAAGACAGTGGCTGCGACAACAACCGGGAAGACAGCAACGAGAACAAGGGCAAGCCGCCACTGCAATACAAACCCTGCAGTACAAGCAACAAGCATAAGTGCAGTGTTCTGCACAATTACCGAAATCCGATCTCCAATAGCAGATCTAACATTGTTGGCATCAAGCGCTAGCCTTGCTGCAATCCTAGCACTCTCATTTTCCTCTCGATCAAACCACGCCATTTCATTTTTAAGTACCGCACTCAACATTTTCTCCCTCACCCGTTTAGTAAGATTTTCACCGACAATATCCCAGAAGAAGTGCTGCAATGTATTGAATAAAAGTGCAGCCGACGAAAGTCCAATCAGCAAGTAGCAATATTTTTCGATTTCTCTAATCATGTGCTTATGGTTTGGATTGTAATAGACACTGAGGACAGTACTGAGAACATAAGCAAAGAATGCACTAAGAGATCCGCAAACAATAGAGCCTATAGAACCAATCAATGCATATAACCATTCAGGTGAGTTCATTTTCACAAGTTGCCAGAAGGAACTCACTTGCTCTTTGAACGCAAGCTTCTCAAGCTTGTAATTTGGATACGATGCATCATGGGGGAGATTAAAATCAGATGTGGAGAAATCAGAAAACCTCCTCGAGTATGGTGATCGGCCGCCATAAGAAGAATTCCGAGTAATTATCGGTGAGCTTACAGAATTCCTAGCACTTGAAGGCCTGCATAGTTTTATTCTCAGCTTAAGATACACAAATTAAATAAGTTCAACTACTATTCTTAAACATTGGTGAAAGCTACCTTGCACTACTTTTTCTGGCATTGCTCGTTGAACTTTCATTTGCCATCTCCTGCATTCTGATAAGCTTGGCATAAACTCCATTTTCCCCTTTCGCAAAGAGCTCGTCGTGAGATCCAATTTCAGAAACACTTCCTTGCTGAAGCACTGCAACAAGGTCAGCTTTGCGAATAGTAGATAGCCGGTGCGCAATTACAAGAGTTGTTCTACCAATCATGAACCTATCAAGAGCTTCTTGAACAAGTTTTTCTGACTCAGAGTCCAATGCACTCGTTGCCTCATCTAGGAGAAGAATTGCCGGGTTTTTCAACATTGCCCTTGCAATCGCTATTCTCTGCTTTTGCCCCCCTGATAGTTGCAACCCTCTCTCCCCTACCTGTGTTTCATAACCTTGAGGAAGTTTGAAGATGAACGAATGAGCATTAGCTACTCTAGCAGCTTCTTCGATCTCTACCTGATCTGCATCAGGTCTACCCAACAGTATATTTTCTTTAATTGTGGTGGCAAATAAAGCCGGCTCTTGGCTCACAAGTCCTATTTGTTGTCTCAACCATTTAAGCTTCAATGTCTTAACATCATGTCCATCTATCAAAACTTCTCCTGTAATTTCATATGATCACTAAGTTAAGAGATCGATACATTTTTTAAATTAAAATAATCACTTTTAAGAGTTCTCATCCGTTTGCTACAAATTTTGGAATGAGTTCATGCATGGTATACCAGAAGAAGGGTCATAGAATCTCTCAATGAGGGACACAACCGTGCTTTTTCCGGAGCCACTACTTCCAACCAAAGCTATGGTCTTTCCAGAAGTAACATTCAAGGAGAAATTGTGAAGGATTTGAACTTCAGGTCTTGATGGATATGAAAAGTTCACATTTTTAAGCTCTACTAGTCCTGTCACAGTCTCTAACTCCAAACCTGATTCACTTTTCTTGTCTATACAAGGCTTGTGATCAATCACACGGAAAATTTTTGCAGCAGCAACTCTGGCCTTTGTAAATGCAGCCATGCTTGGTGCAGACTGGCCTAAAGCCCTGTGAGGAATGATAATTGTCGATAATACCATTAAAACGACGATTAAAAAGGAACGGAAGGAATAACCACTGAGGTTTTCTAAAGCATGAAAAATGAAGAAGATAAATACTTACAATCCACCAATCATGACAGCAAACATGGTAGCAATTGCAAGTCCTCCATTAGTGTAGTGATGCCTGACCAAATAGCCTCCGTACCATAACAAAAGTGCATAGCAGCAGAAAACAACAAAGTAAGTCGCGCCTAATCCAATCCCCTTTGCAAGTCCAGTCCGGTAACCGATCTTTTGAGCAACCCTCAGAGTAGATGAATAGCCTTGTAGTGCTTTTGTCTCTCCAACATATGCTAACACCACTCTAATTTGAACAATAGTCTGCAAATTTGGCTCAAAATTAACACCACCGAGATGCATACACAGATATTGATAACAAAAATGAAAAGTTTTTAAGTCTCTTAAGAGCATGTTAGGATTGACTTATCTGAACTTATGTACTATCTTGATAAACACTTTTGATTGTGAGACTCTTTGAGATAGCTTATGAAAACATTTTATAACATGTGCATACGCTATTTTCAGTTTATTTACATAAGCTCTTCGGTTTAGCTTAAAAAATGATTTATAGCTTGTATGGAAAAAACAACAACCAAGCCTTATTCCACTAAATAAGGTTGGGTACACGGATCAACTTTCGTCATAATGTTCTATCTAGGACCATGCTTTTATCCAAAATGTTAATCCCAAAATCTTTCTTAATAACTTCTCTTATAGCTTTCTAGGTATTCTTCTACCTCTAACTGATTGACTCATCTCTATTTAATCTACTCTCCTAACCACAAAATCTCAGGTCTTCTCTCTATATACCCAATTCACTTAAGTCTAATTTCCACGATCTTTTCTATTGTAGGTGCTACTTCAACACTTTCTCTAATAATGTTATTTCTAATTTTATCATGTCTAGTCTTACTCCAACACTCTCTCTAATCTTATCATTTTTAATCTTATTTTTTGTTGTATAAATATTTTATACACACACACTTATATCATAAGTGCTTATACCAAAAGTGCTCAATTAAGTTGTTTAACCAAACAAGCCTAACCCTCTTACCTGTTCCACAATGTTGCCAGCTTGAGAAAGAGCTTCTTGGCTTTTACCAGATAACTTAGCCAAAGTAGTAGTATGAATGCCTCCTATTACAGCTATCATAGGCACAACAGCAAGTGTAACCAATGCCAATTGCCAAACAGCACTAAAACCAACAGCAAATCCAGAAACAAATGTAGCCATATAGTGAATAAAATTACCTAACTGCATACAGGAAAAACCATATCAAACACCATCCTAATCTCATTACATAACATAAAGAAAGGGTTTGTGTATGTTTTTACACCTTCTCACTTATTGCATCTTGTACGATAACAGCATCAGTGTTGATGGCGAAAACAACATCGGAAGTTCGAACTTCAGTGTCGAAGAACTGAATATCTTGATCCAAAGCAGCTTCAAGATACTTAATTCTCATCCTTGTTGATTGTCTCTCACCAGTCCACATCCAACAAGATATCTCTGCAACAGACCAAACCAAACCTCTCTTAACATTCACAACCTCAACAAAAAAAAACCACAACAACAAAATCTTTAAAACACAATCTTTTTCACCTGCCCATGAAGATGCCCAAATAGCAGCACCAACAACCAGAAAGTAAAATGCATACTGCAAATGAAAAAAGAAAAAAAAAAATCAATTTTTCAAATCAAGTTCACATTCATTAGAGTCACAAAAAAAAAAAAAAAAAACTTTGGATTCTACCAATAACCTGTTACCTTGACAACTTCTTGGGTCATCTTGTCCAAATCATCAGCATTGGAACCAAAAGAGTTAACAAGATCAGCAAAGAACCGAAGAAAAAGTGGCAATGAACAACCATGTACAATTGCTCCAAGAGTTCCAATTGTCATGAGAATATAATCCAACCCATCAGCAAATCTGAAAAGCTCACCAAATCCAACAGAAGGAACATTCTTAATCTTCTCATTTCCATCAGAAAAGTCACAGCTTTTGTTGTTGGGTAATGAACTTTCCTCTTCCACATGTTCCTTGGATTCAACTCTTTCTAACTCCAATGCTGGTGTTGGAGTTGTTGATTGAGAAGATGAAAGTAGCTCAATGCCTTGCATTTCAGACCATTTCCATTGCTCAGAACCTTGTGACATTGCAAAATACCTTGCTTGAGCTTCACAGTTTCACATCACTGCATGGCTTTTATTAAGCTCGTGTTTGTTTGTGATGCAGGAAAAGAAAGTGGTGGTGTAGTTGAATTGAACAGTGAATAATAGTGTGAAAGAGACACTGTTTGGGAGTGTAAGTTAATGTTGAGTTTGGTTACTTCTTGTGTAAGCCTGTAAGGTGTGTGATAATGAAGAAAGGTGAAATCAGAAAGTGATAGATGGTGATAACTGAGAAGACAGACAAGAAATTTCTGAGACATGGAGAGAGAGAAAGAAAGGAATGGGGTTCTACACCCGACAAAAAGTACTGTGTGAAGACTTGAAGATTGGTTTTTGACTGAAGGAGATTCTAACTAGAGGAAAATAATAGTACTAGGGAGAACCGCTCCATCCATTGTTTTTTTTGTTTTTTTTTAGCAAATGGCTCGTCGGTCGGATTCATTGGATTATTTAATTTAAGTATTACTAGTCGATAACCCGTGCTGTCGCATGGGGCCGGTCGAGAATTCATAAAACGTGGAACTAATGTTGTCATGTAACATTAAATTCGTTTTTATATAATTCAATAAAAGTTCATCTAATTCGGTCAAATTTAGTGTATCAAACTTATTTGACAACATTAAAAAATGTAAACTGAAATCATGATTGTATAACAAAATAAGAAACTGTGATGACTCTTCAAAATAAGAAACTATCACGAGTCTTCAGATACAACGCAACCAGCTTGGAAACAATGTTTTCAACTTTTTGACCTGCACAATAAATTATGCAAAAATTAGACAGCATTTACGGAAACAATTTATATTAAAGAAATTATTTGTTATTATGTACTTACCGATCAACAAAGAGATTGGAAAACTTCTTTGTATACAACATTTGTAGTGATAGATGTTATTACATTCATACTATCATGTATTAAGATCTTTAGACCACTTTTGTTTGTAACTCTTGAAATGGCTACATACAACTGGCCATGACTGAATACAGGAGTAGGCAAATACAATCCAACTGTATCAAGTGATTGGCCTTGAGACTTATTAATTGTCATTGCGTACGACACAATAATTGGGAATTGTCTCCTAATCAACTTAAATGGCCACGGTGACTCGGAAGGTGACATAGACATTCGAGGGATGAAAAAGATGTTACCAACATTCTTACCAGACATGATCTTTGCCTCAATAACGTGATTTGCCAACCTTGTAACAATTAGTCTAGTTCCGTTACACAAACCATCGTTTTGGTCCAAATTCCTCATAAGCATTATTGGTGTACCAACCTTTAATCTGAGTTTGTGATTTGGGACACCTGAAGTCCTAAGCTTGCTAAGAAATTCTGGAGTAAGACATTCATAGGCTTCGGTGTAACTTGAATCAGTTCTATCAATCGAATCAAAACTCAAATACTCTTTGTCCTCACCTAAGAAATGGGAAAACGCGAATCAATCCATAATGTTTTTTCAAGAATAATTTAATAACGAAACATCTACACGAAAATAAACATCAAAAGAAAAAAGAGTTTACCCGGTATCATGTCTAACACGTAATGATTAATTTTATCAACAACTTCAATGGTTGAAGCAAGTATTGCTTTTCCTTGTAGAAATTCTATATTGTGAAAGTCGGCAAGCAAATTTGGGTATGTGCTTTCAACTATAGCTCTTATTGGATCCTCAAAATTGGAAATTAACAAATCCGGAGGAATTTCTATATCAGCTAATCCATCGTTAGGTTCACATATTTTACCGTCGCCAACATTTAATATCCATTTAGAGAATTCTGCAAGTTCATCAGAAGTTGTAACGTCCCTCTCATTCTTTAGTCTCATGTTTTTGGTTAGTGTTAAGACTTGGCAATAGTCCCACACATAAGAAGAACAAATGGAAGCATGAACAATATCAGAACGGCCTGCTCTTGGAACAACTGGAAGTATCTGTCGAAAATCTCCTCCAAATATAACTACCTTGCCACCAAAAATTGTATTTGCAAAACCCTTATCGCTCATGACATCCTTAAGGGTCTTATCCAAGGCCTCAAAACAATTCTTATGAGCCATGGGTGCTTCGTCCCATATTATGACATCAGTAGCTTCGAATAACTGTGAATGCTCAGAGTCTTTGTCAACATTGCAAGTAGAGTTGTCAAGCGTTGGAATGGGAATTTTGAACTTCGAATGGGCTGTTCTACCACCTGGCAATAATAAGGAAGCTATGCCACTTGAAGCAACAGCCAGAACAATTTTTTTATCTGAACGAAGTGCACTTGATAATGTCCTCCACATAAACGTTTTACCGGTTCCGCCGTATCCATGTAAAAAAAACACCCCTCCATTTTGTTTCTTGACGGCGTCCATTATGGTTTCAAATATTTCACGTTGCTCATCTTGACGTTCAAATGAAAAGAATCAATACAACAGTAGTTTAATGAAAACATCGATGATTTGAATAATGAGGAAATACCTGTTAGAGATGAAAATAGATTCTGGAAGTTTTGTCGCTCTAAATCAGCATCGTAATCACGTTCATCAAAAATCAGTCTATTACCGACATGTCGCGTTATATACAAATCTGGAAACGGCATATCTTTGAATTCACGCAAGCTTCTTCTATTTGATTGCATCATATTCTCAATCTCAATTAATGTGAGGTTTGTCAGTTCTGCCGTTGACAATTGCATGTCTTCCAACACAAATACAAACCAAAAGAAAATATAACTATTTTGTACAATAGAAATCACAGTGTTGATGAAGATAGACATGCAAAAGGATCGTTAACCTTAAAATGGCAGTATCATGGAAAAGTTCAGTATAATGCAAGAGCATCAGACATTCGGGTTCATTAAAAATGTTATGTTTTTGATCAGTAGCTGTGACAAAAGGTGGTTGAAGGTAAAAGATAAATCACAGAATTATTCTGTTCTGTGTTGATGGTGAGTAATATCAGATTGCATTAGATATTTTTATTACTGATGAAATGGCAGCATTGAAAGGACTTGCTTACTGGAACTTATGATTCTTTGAAAGGGCAGCATTGAAAGGTGCTGTTGAATGGAAATGATGTGAACCAGTTTGGTAACAATTGAAATTCTTAAGTTAAGACCCTATCTACATGAGTTGAAATTACATTACGACAATGAGAACTTGTCAAAAGACTTAAGTATGGTTTGAACTGTATGATATGTAACATATATATGGAAGTATAAAAGGATTGAAATTATTGCATCCAAAGTAGTCTAAAAGGTATTATAAGAAGAAAAACTCATTATAATAGTTTCGTACGGTTTGTAATTGTATGAAATTTAACAGAAGTATTTAGGTATTTTTTAAGTGTACCTCTTATTCCAGTGACAATTCTCTGTTGATGAAGAATACCGTCAGATAGCAACTTCCAAGTCCGTTGCCAAACATGTCGTGGCCGATTAACAGTACCAGACAACAGCATCGTGACAAATAGCTTCCTCAAAAAATTACCGGAACCCCAATCTTTGGCCTCATTTATGGCTGCAACATATTCTTTGTCGTCGTTAAGAAATCTCATCTCAAAGCATGCATCTCTAAAACTGTCGCGGACTACTCCACCAACCTTTTTTATATCGTCATAGCAAGTCGGTCCCTTGACAACCGTCAACATCATTCTAAGGTAATAGAGCTCACCAGTGCTTGGAGGAACCCAAATTAACCGGCCAATCGTACGACCTCTTTTTCGAGGTCTCCATAAATGGTACCTTTTATCGTAAACGAACTTGGAAAGAAACGCAGTGTATGTTAAAGTCTTTGCATCTTCGTATTTTTTGTTTGACTCCATCCAAGCTGTAAACATTGATTCCTTTACAGTTGGTTTTTCAAGAACATTGTCTATGAAATCATAGTCAGTGTAGTAAACCGGATTTTCGCCTTGCAGATGAAAATACAACCTTTCGACAGAAGGAGATCTACCATGGATAGGATATGAAAAAATCCTCCAACACGCCTCATTGGGGGAAACGTACCTGCAATCAAGGTACTGTTTGATTTCATCAACATCTGTACCAAATGAACTTCCGTCTGATTCGGTCCGAACAACCGCTGCAGTTATTCTATCGTAACCTTTGTTAATATACTTGAATAAGTACTTGACAGAAGTACCTTGGTTACACCATTCCATATTAATGTGCGCCTGATATTTCTTTAGAAGATATGCATTATAAGGAACTACATACCTATTATCAAGAACAATACTTTTTTTCAGAACAGTAATGCCAGTATCCCTTCTCCTATAGACGGGATAGCCATCTTGATCGACAATGGTTTGAGGCTGCCAATTTTTGGGAAAGAATTTAGAGCATTTACCATTTTTCATGCAAGGGGGAGATCTGTTAGCCAACCCACATGGACCATGAATCATATGTGTCTTTACCAAATGATTTAATTGTTTATCATCCGTTTCTGCCGGTATTTCTGCTGAAATAATGTTGTTGATGTCATCCGGAGTGGGAAACTTGTTCTGGGGATGCATGAAAAGTAAAATGTGTGCATGGGGCAAACCTCTCTTTTGGAACTCAATGGTGTATATATCTGGAAGAAATTAAAATACAGTAAAACATTAATTTAAAATCATTGGTATAGAATAGGGAAGAATTAAGTATTACATATTTAATTTCATGTGGCTCACATGCAACAACTCTGCCCAAGACATGCTTCTTTGTTATATCATACAGTAATTCGTCAAACTTCATTTTAAAAACCCTTGAGATTATATCAGGACGATCTTGAGGTTGTAAATTCATGTTGTTAAGAAACCTCTGAATCTCTGGCCAACATGGATTGCAAGTAAAGGTAATGAATAGATCGGGAAATCCAATTTGACTACAAATTGCCATTCCATCAAAGTATAATTGTTCCATGTATCTGCGACTTCCAACGTATGTTGACGGCAACACCACTCTTTTGCCTTTGTGGGCTCCTTCATTTGAAGATTGTTGGTGTACTCCTGACAAATTGGAGTATTTGGATACTCGTAATTTTTTTTGATGCTTACGTATGTAATTGAGTCGCTGTGACTCCATCATAGTGAATCCATCAACCAAAAATTGCTGAAACAATCTCCTTGACCTGAGCAGTGTGTGAGTTTCACGTTGTCTGGTCTGAATGCGAAAGGCCGGCCATTCTCTAATAGTAAGTTTGTTCATCTTTCCTTTTTTTTGGGAACTGTCTCTCTGTGTAGAACACCAAGTCTAAATCCATCTTCCCCGTACGGAAACAGAAGTGGATATTGTAATGCAAGATAGCTCGGATGAAACTCACTTATTCGTTTTAGTCTACCGCTTTGTCTTTCAAGGATAATATCCCTTTTTGAGCCTGTATC